AAAACATAAAAGATATAATTCTTTTCAAATTAGATTCTAGAGTATGACAATCTAGTATAAGAGCATTGTTATTGAAAGAATTGAATTGTTATCAGCTGCTTGTGAATTAGATAAGATTGGATAGATTAAGGTAGTACATTATTTACATACATAATTTATTGCATGTGTGAATTTTTCAAGCAGGATTGTACAAGTGAATATATAAATTGTACCTACCAAAAAAATATATCAAATGAATAATATAATTCATCTCCAGTATCTTATGTACCGTCAAATAGTGTTATGCAATTGGCTACTATTATTGCATAGGTAATGGGAGATACATAGAGAAAGTTAATTGGAATCAAGGAAGAAGAGGGAGATAAGCATTTACAAATATTTCATAAGCTAAAACACTCACTATTCAAAAGAGTTATCAAACCCCATATTATAGAGGATTGACTATTGAGGATCACTACAGGAAAATCACCCTTAACCGGCGGTTTAGATAAAAAAAAAATAGCGGTTTTGGTATTTAACGGTGGCTTTGCGGCGGGGTCTAAACCGCCAGAAAAATTGGCGTAGGAAACTATTTACCGGCGGCTCCATTAGCCGACGGCATACCGACGGCTTCAACCGTCAGATATTCTACAGGAAAGTCCCGGCGGTCACAATACCGACGGCTTATCGGCCGTCCTGTAACGATGGCGTACCGGTGGTTTCAGCGGCCGGCGTGGGGATGCTTAACCGCCTGGTTGCATCGGTTAACCGTCGGTAATACACCGGCGGTTACCGGCGGTTACCGGCGGTCTAGACATTTGCAAGAGGATGTATCTTTGTGTATGCTTTTTGTTGATGCTATTCTTCTAGTTGATAAGACTAGAGAGGGGAGTTGAAGGTAAACTTGAATTATAGAGGTCAACCTTAGAGTCTAAAGGTTTTCACTTAAAGTGTATCTAAAACTAAATATATGGAGTGTAATTCTGGGCAACCAAGTCATTAATAAGAGTACACATTTTAGATATCTTGGATCTATTGTTCAGAGTGATGGTGAAATAGATGAGGATATTATCAGCATAATTCAAGTTGGATGGTTGAAATGGAGGAATGCATCGGGCTTGTTGTGCGATAGAAAAGT